TTCTTCCGTGACCAATTAAAGTCGTTGACTTCAAACCACTTGCTTCGCCAAATAGGGACTTTTGATTCTTTCATGTAAGGAAACTATCCAACTGGCTTTTCAGATGTTTTTGGTTCTATTTGGGTCGCTGTTTTGTGTCTTAAACTACACACGGAAAGGCACCAGAGATCTGTCTCCACCAGTTAAGCTATGTTACCATATTATAACCTGTGCGACATAAAACTAAAACAAGAGGGCCATGATGGCCCTGAGGTCGCTCACCAAAATTTAGCCCCCCCCCACCCCAACGTTGCAGGGCCAATTTAACCCAAGGGCTTTTATTTGCACAAACTTGGTAGACACCCATAAGAAGATGTTTCATGCTAAACATCTAAGCTCTAGCTCATTGGGCTTTTTAAAAGAAGATTTTTTTTAAGTTTTTACTATACACATATAGTTAAAAACAATGACACCCCTGGGGCCGGGCCAGTTTTGACCCCAGGGCTTTTATTTGAACAAACTTTGTAGACACTTACTAGAAGATGTTTCATGCTTAATATCTAAACTCTAGCTATTTGGGTTTTTTTCAAAGAAGATTTTAAGTTTTGCTATACACATATAAAGAAAATCAATGACCCCGGGGCCGGGCCAATTTTGACCCCAGGTCTTTTTATTTGAAAAAACTTTGTAGACACTCACTAAAAGATGTTTCATGCTTAATATCTTAACTCTAGCTATTTGGATTTTTTCAAAGAAGATTTTTTAAGTTTTTGCTATACACATATAAGGAAAATCAATGACCCACAGGGGCGGGGCCAATTTTGACCCCAGGGCTTTTATTTGAACAAACTTGGTAGACACCTATTAGAACATGTTTCATGCTAAATATCTTAGCCATAGCTCTTTGAGTTCTTTAAAAGAAGATTTTTTAAGTTTTTACTATATGCATATAGGGAAAAATCAATGACCCCCGGGGCGGGGCCAATTTTTGACCCCCAGGGCTTTTATTTGAACAAACTTGGTAAGACACTTATTAGAACATTTTCATGCTAATATCTTAGCTCTAGCTCGTTTGGTTTCTTTAAAAGAAGAGATTTTTTAAGTTTTTACTATATGCATATAGGGAAAATCAATGACCCCCTGGGGGGGGGGCCAATTTTGACCCCAGGGCTTTTATTTGAACAAACTTGGTAGACACCTCTTAGAACATGTTTTGATGCTCAATATCTTAGCCATAGCTCTTTGAGTTCTTTAAAAGAAGATTTTTAAGTTTTTACTATATGCATATAGGGAAAATCAATGACCCCCTGGGGCGGGCTAATTTTTTGACCCCAGGGCTTTTTATTTGAACAAACTTGGTAGACACCCATTAGAACATGTTTCATGCTAAATATCTTAGCTCTAGCTCTTTGGGTTCTTTAAAAGAAGAATTTTTAAGTTTTTACTATATGCATATAGGGAAAATCAATGACCCCCCGGGGTGGGGCCAATTTTGACCCCAGGGCTTTTATTTGAACAAACTTGGTAGACACTCACTAGAAGATGTTTCATGCCAAATATCTAAGCTCTAGCTCTTATGGTTTTTTAAAAGAAGATATTTAAAGTTTTTTCTTTCGGTTGCCATGGCAACCAGAGTTCTGCATGGAATTAAATTCTTTGAACAATTTTTAAAGGTGACCACCAAAGGAACATTCCTGTGAAGTTTGGATGAAATTTGCCTAGTGGTTTATGAGGAGATGTCATTTAAAGTAAAAGTTTACGGACGGACGCCGGCCGGACGGACGCCGGACGAAAAGCGATCATAAAAGCTCACCCTGTCACTTTGTGACAGGTGAGCTAAAAAACTAAATGATTTAAATAAAGCGTCTTAGAATTTAAGCTCCTGTGGCCATCTTGTTCAGTAGACCAGATCCATTTAATGACCTTCTAAGGATCATTCCTTTATATTTTCGTCAAAATCCATTCAAATAGCTCACCTTGATCATGTTGTGTTCAGGTGAGCTAAAAATTAAAGACCCAAGATATAGCTGACATATCACTATTGACCAATATAGAGGTGAGCCAAACTGTGCTGAAGTGCAGGATGGCCTGGGACCTAACAATACTGGTTATTATCTCAGCAACCATTAATAAGGATTTGAAACGACATAAAGGAGAAAACACATTCAAATATACACATTCTCTAATATCTTTATTGACTTAACTGTTACAATTGCCAATTATCTGACATATAAGCAATATAATTCATGAAGATTTTACAGTTCAATATACATGTATAGCTAAATTCAAATATGATCGTCAATCATTATAGTAAAATTAACATTTTGTCAAGATAATAACTTAAGGTATAATGTTAAGACATACACTTTTAAAAGTGCAAATTATATTTGCAAAACAATAAAAACTGTGAAATTCAATTCCATAACAAAAACCTCAACCATTAAAATTTTAGACTAAAGAAACATTTGTAACAAGATAAACTATAAAAATTTCTTGTCATAATATAATCAACAAATGTAATACGTCAAATATTTAGAATACCAGAACACTAGAAAGCATTAAACAGTAATAAATTTAACTTTCTTGTAAAGATATTTTTATAAAGATATATTCCTTTCAAATTTGATATTTGAAAATCCTGTCTGATAATAATTTATTGCTATGTCAATAACATTAATTTTATATAACACAAATTATTTCTTCAATTGTGAATATTTTTACTTAGTACATGTACATTTTTTCTCAAGGATGCTTTTTAAAAACAAGATTGCATTTGAGGAAAATGCTATGCCACCGCATTAATACAACACTAAATAGTAGTGTAGGAACAGATTTTTTTTGTTTCTTTACAATATTGAAGATTGTCATAAAGCATAGATCCCTGACCTATCTTATTCTTATTATCAGATAAGTGGTTAAATCTAATGTTAACTCAATAAAAGATCAGAGTAGGAATGTATCAATGCACTCCAGTCTAGTGAATTTGGTGGTGAAGGTCATATTTCACACAGCCTTAATTTCATGACTACATCAAAAGGACAACACAGTAAGACACTTTGTCAAAATCTAGGTCAGCTGAAATCAAAGTTCACTTTACATCTTAATCTGTGCACAGGGTTCAAATTTCATAGCTGTACATCAAAGGACCAGAAAGTAGGTCACATCAACAAAATCTAGGTCACCTGATATCAAAGTTCAATTTTACAACTAAAACTGTGCACATGGTCAAAATTTCATTGCTGTACATCAAAGTAGGTCACTGTCCCCTTGGGCAAGGCAAAATTTTGGACCCAAGGGTTTAATTCAAAACAATCTTGATACAGGTCCACCAAACAACATTTCAAGTCAAATATCTAAGCTGTAGCTTTCTCCCATTCAGAAAACATTTGTTTTATTTTCTGTTTTTAATATGTGTACATAATGAGAATCACTGCCCCTGGGCAGCACCAATTTTGACACCAGGGGAAAAATTTGAACAACTTTAGTACAGGACCTATAGATGATATTATATAGCAAATATCAAAGCTCTATCCCTTGTTCCTTCAGACAAAAATATTTTTTATTTTTTTACTATGTGTACATAGTGAAAATCAATGACCCCTGGGGGTCGGGCCAATTTTGACCCCAGGGCTATAACTTGTACACTCTTGCTAGAGGTTCACTACATAATGTTTCATGCAAAATATCTTAACTCTAGTCTTTGTAAATTTAAAGAAGATGATTTTTTAAGTTTTTACTTTATACATATAAGGAAAACCTATGGCCCCCGGGGTGGGGCTAATTTTGACACTAGAGGCAAAATTTGAACAACTTTGGTAGAGTTCCTATAGATGATACCAATTGACAAATATTAAAGCTCTAAGCCTTTTACCTTCAGACAATAAGATTTTTTACTATATATATATTTAAAATCAATGACCCCTGGGGCGGGGGCAATTTTGACACCAGGGCTATAATTCAACAACAATCTTGCTAGAAGTTCACTTCACAATGTTTCATGCAAAATATCTAACCTCTAGCATTTGTCAATTGCTAGAAGAAAGTTTTTACTAAAAGTTTTTACTATATACATATAAGGAAAACCAATGACCCCCCGGGCGGGGCCGATTTTGACCCCAGGGCTATAATTTGAACAATCTTGGTAAGGGTCTACCAGACAATGCCTTCTGCAAATATCTAAGCTCTTGGCCTTTTGGGTCTTTACAAGAAGGTATTTTAAGTTTTTACTCTTTGTACATATAGTGAAAATCAATGACACTTGGGGCGGGGCCGATTTTGACCCCAGGGCTATAATTTGAACAATCTTGGTAAGGGTCTACCAGACAATGCCTTATGCAAAATATCTAAGCTCTAGGCCTTTTGGGTCTTTACAAGAAGGTATTTTAAGTTTTTACTATATGTACATATAGTGAAAATCAATGACCCCCGGGGCCGGGCCAATTTTGACCCCAGGGCTATAATTTGAACAATCTTGGTAGAGGTCTACCAGACAATGCCTTATGCAAAATATCTAAGCTCTAGACCTTTTCAGTCTTTACAAGAAGATATTTTAAGTTTTTACTATATGTACATATAGTGAAAATCAATGACCCCTGGGGCGGGGCCGATTTTGACCCCAGGGCTATAATTTGAACAATCTTGGTAGAGGTCTACCAGACAATGACTTATGCAAAATATCTAAGCTCTAGGCCTTTTGGGTCTTTACAAGAAGATTTTTTAAATTTATTCTTATATTCCTTTTGGTTGCCATGGCAACCAGATTTCTGTATGGAATTAAAAACTTTGAACAACTTTGGAAGCCCTTCATCCTAGGATCAATCCTGTCAAGTTTAATTGAAATTGGACTAGTGGGTTTTCACAAGAAGATTTTTTAAGTTCACTATATAATTTATATAACACACAAACAAACAAACAAACAAACAAACAAACACACACACACACGCGCGCGCACGCGCGCGCACACACACACAGGTGAATCGCTATATGCCACCGCATCGCAGATGCTGCGGTGGCATAAAAATATTTTGGCTCATCTGGAGGCTGCATTACGAAAAATGTTCACTTTTTCTTCAAAATTTTGTATGTTTTGCGTACTAATTTCACTTTTTCTACATGATATCATGTGCTGTTGTTTATTGCTGTCAATGTGACAATGACTCAAAACCTTCATCCAACAAAAACATAAAACATGTTTAATGCTATTTTTGTTTCCATGAGAAACTTTTCTGTCCTCTTTTACTGTAAGCTTTACTTCTCGATCCCTGAAAGTGAAAAAAGATCTGTACTTAGGACTTGGTTTTTTATCATATATTAATTCAAATAATTTAATGAGCATCTTCTTCAACTTAAGGGACAATTTTGTTAAGCAGCTTGACCTACTTGTAAACTACTAACCCTTTGAAAATATCAATACACTTATATACCCTCTGTACAATACATTAAGAAAATGCAAGACCCTTAGCTGATAAACAACCAATAATAATAAGGAAGCAAAAGTTTCCTTCTCGCCAGAGGCTTGCATAATATAATTTTATTGAACTCGTTCATAAATAAATAAATTTGGTATTGAACCTAAAGTCATTCAATATAAATTACATAAATGGAAGGGGCAAATTTCAATATGTACAAGAACTGACCTTATTTTTTCCTCTTCTATTTTGAAACTGTGGGTCATAATAATCTGAATCCTTCGATGAATTACCTGAAATTGCAATTAAAAACATTATTTAAGTATGAGTATTACAAAACTCTGAATTTCCGCATTACTGAAACAGTGAAAGTCATTGAAAAGTTCATTCACTGTTTCAAGAATACTATACTGGATTTGTTTTATGTTACCCGGCAACAATCCCTGCCTTTACTAGAGATTGATAAACTCAGGAGCTCATATAGGTAATACTTCAGACAGTAGCTGGTGGCTTATTATAATCATACCATTCAGTGTATGGAAGCTGGATGCATTTATAAGAATAATTAAGGTAAATCAGTGTGTATCATTGTGTGTAAAATAAATGTTGCCAAAAACATTTCTTGGATGTTTCAAGGGTTTTATTCAGGGGTTCAATTCTCTGGCAAGACAAAAATTTTCTGTGATTACCTTAGCCATAACCTTCGGTCATTGAAGCTGATGGTAATAAGTCTCTTACTGTTCATTCAGAAATCATGTGGTATAAGAAGTTGATCACTTGCCGAGAAATAGGTGATTACTAGTTGGTAATCCTGCAAAGCTGGTTTTGGTGACTTTCGAGATTTTACCAGAAAACGTTAAAGTGTGTTGAAATCTGCATGAAAAACCGAAGGCGTTTTCCTGCTACATTTTGAATTTTTGGATAAGGCCAATGACATAGACTGGAGGAAAGTATTTTAATCAACATTTTTGGGAATTTGATAATTTAAAAAAGTTTAAAGGTGAACATGTCCTGTAACCAAACATACAAACATATAATGGCTATAATATACCCAACAAAATGAAATAATATAAACATCAAATACCTTGTAACAACTTCTTAGCACCTTCTGCATAATCATACGGTTTAAATCCTTTACTTTCCTCTTTATCCTCTTCCTTATCATCATCCAATATCACTATAGCTTCTTCACTTCCTTTATTTTCAGTTCTGTTGTCACTTTCTTTATTCACTGTTCTAGATTTATTTCCTGTATTCACAGTTACAGATAAATTTTCTGCTGTATCCATTGTCAAATCAACCACTGGTTCAGCATCTCCTTGCTTTCCCTTTTTCTTGTCTTCTTTCATTTTCCTTTTTAACCTCCTCTGTTCCATTTTTTCCTTTATCTTTTCTGCTAAATTAAAAGGTTGCTGATCGCCCGGATTTTCTCCCAGGGCCACATCATTGGTCCGTTCTAGCTCTCTCAAATGGCTTAAATGTTTCTGAACACTTTCTATAATATCTATATCTTGTCTTTTCTCCTTCTTTTTCTTCTTTGATGGCACCTGGAAATTAATGAATACATAAAAATCTGGAAAAGGAGAGATCTATTTAGACATATGAAAATGAAACAAATTATTGACAGCTGCACACTGCGTTTTATTGAGTTTGTTTATGAGTGATAATGTAATGGCCCATTGCCACCGGCATACACGACATAATATCCAGACTGATTTTCGGGACTTAAAAAATGTTTCTAAAATTAACGTAGCAGCATGTAACCTAGTAAACCAATATTTACGACTTACAAACATTATGAATCAGTAAAGCATGCGCTATGCTTTATCACTGTGGTAGTGTAAGGTATTCAACATGCCTGTTTTTTTACAGTGACAATGTCACATCTGACAAAAAAAATTGCTATATAAGCGATTTAAATCACCATATTTTATATCGCAGAAATGAAATTACCTTTCTATTTTTTAATAAATCAAAACATTTCTATGTAATTGTCTTAAGACTCGTATGTTTAAAATAATGCTGAAAATCGCGACACTCCCAGAACAATTGTAAGTATGCAGACATTTGAAGAACTTGTCAAAATTATTTCCATACAATTACAAATGTATAAAACAAAATCGCACTTCCTTGGATTTACATTGTTCACAATAGTGGTCCTGGCAACCTCAAAATCTGCAGAACATTGGCATCCCTGCTAACAATGTTTCACATATTTTATACCAAAACCAACCTGTTACTGTGTAAAACAATTAAGTCTCCAGAAAATATGTATCATATTATGACATCTGTAAATTACCTGAAACCTAAGAGGTATTTCAACATCCTGTGGCAGTGCTTTCTTATCATCTTCAGTTTTCTCAGTGATTGGGTTCGGGTCTCCATCTTCGAACCGAATATGCTGGTTCACTGATGAACTGTTACCATGTAAATCTGTGCGTGACCTCTTGCTGGGCGGAGCTGAAAAAAGTTAACTTCTTTACATCATATTTTTCTCAACACAGGTAAAAGTGCACTACATGTTTAACATTTGTTTGGCACACCAAAATGTTTTCAGTATGTAAAACATATGTTTCATTTGTTTTTGAAAAGCATGTGTTTTACATGTGTTGAATTTTACTTGTTTCTTGTTTTAAGCAGACGCAGACACCAGCTCTCCAAATAATTTGTATAGTCAAACTAAACAGTGTTCCAAGGGCCAAAAGTTTTTGCAAAATTAAACAGGAGACCTTCAAACTTTTAGCACAATCAAACTAAAGTAAACTGTTTAAACTGATACCTGAACCATTAGCACTATCAGCCTCTATTGACTTCCTCTTTACTGATGACGGCAGCAACTTCCATGGTGGACTTTTCTGAGTAAGATGAAAAAATTGTATATATATCACATGACTTCCCTTGTCTTTTTATGTAGTATAACCATCATGTATTTCTTTATATTACACATATTAGTGCAGTAACAGCTTAACTCCTTATATAATTCAATAGGAGTTAACCCGTTAAAGCTATATGTTGGCGATATAATATAACTACCATATTAGTATATGTTAAGCATTCATTTGAAAAATGAAGTTGTAAACAAATTTTCATTATAGTAAGTTATGTGAAGTAAGGTAGTCATGTAATGCAAGGTAGTCATGTGATGTAAGGTAGTCATGTGATATAAGGTAGTCATGTGATATAAAGTGGTCATAATGTGATGCATTGTAGTCATGTGAAGTATTGTAGTCATGTGATATAAGGTAGTCCTGTACTGTAAGGTAGTCCTGTGATGTAAGGTATTCATGTGATGTAAGGTAGTCCTATGATGTAAGGTAGTTATGTGAAGTAAGGTAGTCATGCGATGTAAGGTAGTCATACATTGTAAGGTAGTCATATGATGTAAGGTAGCCATGAGATGCAAGATATTCATGTGGTGTGAGGTAGTCATGTGAGGTAGTCATTTTATGTGAGGTAGTCATTTGATGCAAGGTAGTTGATGTAAGGATTATGACATGAGCACTTATTTGATAAAAACGTTTAGGAAACAAGATCAGGAAAATTTTACTAAGCAAGTATCTGACCTGAACTTGTTTCATACCAGTTGATATCAAATTAGATCTTTTGTCAGATCCTGTATATATATTTATGAAAATCTGCCAGAACACTCATGGCAAGACTATGTTAACTTTAACAAAAAAGTAATAACAAATTCACAAAAATAGTAAAAACAAGGGCCAGTACAACTGGGTGATGCTCCCCAAATAGGTTTTGGACACAGGAAGGTATACCTCTTGTAGCGTCAGAGTAATGTCACAGACAAAGTGCAAAAACAACCCAAATGTTGCGCGTGACACGTCAACTCAATATGGTGATCATTTCTGTGAAATAGTTGTAATGTCCGACTTCAAATAACAAAGTTATGGGCCGGACACGATTTTGCTGCAAGGTCATGCTGTGACCTTGACCTTCAAGGTAGCGACCCAAATGTTGCTTGCAACACGTCTCAATATGATGATCATTTCTGTGAAGTAGTTGTAAAATCCCAGTTCAAATAAAGAAGTAATGGGCCGGACACGATTTTGCTGCAAGTTATGCTGTGACCTTGACCTTCAAGGTAACGACCCAATTGTTGCGCGCGACACTTCGTCTCAATATGGTGATCATTCCTGTGAAATAGTTGTAAAATTCGACTTCAAAAAACGAAGTTATGGGCTGGACACAAATACGGGATGTACGTACATATGTACTGACGGACGGACAGACAACCCAGCGACTAAATGCTCCCCCGAAATTTTTTCGGGGAGCATAAAAAGGTTCCCACAGCATAGTATGTCTCTGTAAATTGACATTATTAACCCTAAAGACTGTTTCTCTGTAACAGCACATCAAATCTGGGGGGAAAAACTTACCATTATATTTTCAGCCTTATCACCTGGTAATTTAGCAGGTCTGATGACTGAAGATCCTGTCTTTGCATCAACCGGAATATACTGTTAATATGAAAAATGCAAAGCTCATTTTATCAACTATACATAATATATTGGTAAATATATTCATATATTGATTTGTGTATATAATACATTTTACATATAATGATTTTTCTTTATAATTCTTGTAATAAGTTTGTAAACTACAGTGTGCCAATTTTGCACTTGCACTCAAGCCCATGGCTAGTAGACTTTGCGTCAGAACCATCAAATTTTACAAGTAACCAGTCTGAATGGCATGTCAGCAAAATTATCACCTTAGTTTCTGAAAATGAAATGACTGAATTTCAAATGAAACACTCATTTACCCTCCATTCTGGAAATAGAACTATAAACTGCATAGCTCATTATTCTGGATTTGTTTCCCACTTTTAAAGTCAACCTTTTTTGGCTTGTTAAAACCCTTATGTGGCTAGTAGATATTGCTAATCACAAGTATTAATTGGTTGTACTTTTCGCTCCCTGAATTTGTTGACTGTATATAAATGTAGAAATAATACTTTGAAAAGTGATAAAAGTTTGTTTGGTACATTGTTTTGATATCAACTACAAGGATTTTAAACACTCTGTCATAAAAATAAACAAGAACTGTCATTGGAAACAGACAACTACTCCCCCCCCCCAGCATAGCCCAGTACCAGTAGAGGGACCATGAACCATAACCCTTGATTTGCAGCAAAGGCATGGTTAAAAGAGTGTTACAAGAATATGTTTTGCTCATGATTATCAATTGTCCTTTAACACAAAAGCAGTTCAACAAACTGGACAAACACAAAATGCCCCTAAATTATCAATGTAATAGTGTAAAACATTTAAAATCTACCTGTTCATATGGATTGGTCAAGCCAGCTTTAACTTCTTTCACAATTTTCTGTACGGCAGTCAAGGTAGATTTACTGTTTGGCTGAAATAAAAAAAAAAAAAATACTGTCAAACATGTTTAACTATCAAAATTGTTAACTATCAAGCATGTTTAACTATTCAAGCATGTTAAACTATCAAGGAGATTTACCTAATTTGGTATGTTTAAATATAAACCATATAAACAGCATGTTTAACTCTTCAAGCATGTTCAACTATTAAACTTTCAGATTTATCTATTAAAGTATGTTTAACTACAGATCAAACATGTTAAACTATTAGGGATGTTTAACAATTAAGCATGTTTAACTTTCGATCAAATTTAACTATCAAGAATGTTTACCTATTCAAGCATGTTATCTTTCCTATCATTTACACATTGCTTTAAGTAAAGTAGCTAGTCAGTTATTAAAGTTCCATACAAAAACTTACTTTTGAATCAAAGACAGTTAATAAAGGATGGGACTTCACAACAATCACACTATCAGCTGCATTTGAGAACATACTTGACGTTCTTGCCACCAGGGAGGAGTCTGAAAATTATATCAATATATTTATATACAAGCATTTATCTCTAAACAACACTGTTAACAATCATCTGTCAACTCTGCAGCTAGAGGATAACCTTCCTTACATTATTTCAGGCACAAACTACCCTGTTTTAAAATCATGAAGTTGACCAAGTGAAGTATCCAAGTTGGCTTTTAGACATATGGGAATTTGTCAGTGACCCACAATTATGATCTTCAAGACAAGTGTTAAGTTTTAAATTGATTTTTTTTTTTGACAAGTCAAGTTGAATATAAAACCTTAACAAGGATCTTCTGTCAAAGTCTGTAGGATAGCCCTAAAATTATCTGAACAGTCAAGTTGTATAGAGGAGTAAAAAGTAAAAACTGGGTTACCTAAGACAAAACCCTCCTTAACAAACAAAGGCGCTACACCAATGGTTATATCATGGTGAGATATATAACCTTACAATACCTAGTAAAAATAATCTAAAATTTGGTTACCTAGGAGACATGTATCTGTTTCCATGATGACATTATCCTGGTGTGACAGATCATGTGGACAATGTAACAAGCTATCAACATTATATTTAGGATGCTGATGCTGTGTTGGTCTTCTCTCATGTTTCACCAGCTCAACCTGAAAAATACAAGAAAAAAATAAATGTG